CTACCACTGAGCCACAACCCCAGCCCTACTGCACATGCTTTTGATGTTGTATCTAAAAATCTGTTCCAAATGAACACTTTCCCTATGTTCTTCTGAAAGTTTTATAGTTTTAGCTCATATACTTTTAGATCACTGATCCATTCTGAGTTAATTTGTATATGGTGAATGGTAGAGGCCTTAGTTCATATGGATATCCAGTTGTTACAGTGCCATTTCCTGGACAACTGACTAGAGATAAACGAGTTTTTATCTGAACTCTCAATTCCATTCCACTAGTTTACTGTACTACTTTTTTTTTTTTTAAAGCACTATGGATGAAACCCATCTGATATATATCCCTAGTCCTTTTTAAATTTTTGGTCTTGAGAACGGGTCTAAGTTGCTGAAGGTCTTGCTAAGCTGCTAAGGCTGGCCTCAAATGATTTTGTGATCCTCTTGCTTCAGCCTCCTGAGTCACTGGGCCTATGCCATCATGACCACTTGTATTCCTTTTAAAATAAATGATAATTTTGTTGTTTTCTCTCAAGAGTAAATGGTAAGCAACAATATATGTAAACTTTGTAAAATGGTATTTAAGAAACAAAAATCAACTTCGGAACTAGAACAATTCTAAGTTTTGTACAAGCTCTGCCTTAACTGAGATAAGGCTTTGGGTGAGGATGGCTTTTGGCCTGAGCAACTCCATTTTAAAAACTCCAGTTTGAAAACTTCAGTCTCACCAGGCACATCTACAGAGCCCTCCAGTAATGCCTCAAACAAGTTACTTCCCCTCACCCTGATAAACAGAGTGATGCCCCAGGTAGGCTGTCCTTGCCTGATAAGAAGGGAAAGGCAAGAAGATCAGGGTGGAGACCACCTGACCCCAGGATAAATGATGTCATGGAAAAATCCAGTGGTAGCTGATAAGGATTGAAGGGGTGGGGGGTAAAAACCCCAAAATTTAGTATAAATAATAGAGCAAATGAACAGGGATTCAGCCAGCTGAAACAAGGATTCACTCAAGCTGGAGAGCCTGATGAGATATGAACTGATATCCCATCACTTGTCATTATTTCCTGAGCCTCTGTGTGATCCTCACCACTCTCAAACTCCACCGCCTCATCTGTACCTTGGTGAGAGCTGCAACTCTTCCTTACAACCCTCTCCTTAACCAGTCATCCACTCCAAGCCAGGAAAAGCCTGCCTTGGTTCTGGACCTGATCACCATGGTCTGAGTGATTGTGCATGTGCTGGACTTAAAAAGCCTAAGGCTTAAGACTTTTGATATGACATTTGAACTTAGCACGCAGAGGGAATGTCTGTCACTAGCCTGTCATAATTAAGTTTGTTTTACAGTGCTTAGAATTAATCTAGAATTGTTTGCAGTAAATTAATTAATCTAGAATTGTTTACTGTGAATGGATAATGTCTATTGGAGTGCCTAGCATTAAGGATTGTCGTTTTCTTCATTAAGAATCTATAGATTGAAATTGTATTAAGTAATTTGAGGAAATAAAGCATTGAAAAAGGAAAAAATAAGTAAATGGTAAGAAAGGAAGGGAGTTCAAAAAGAAGACCAATTTTTAGTAAATTTGGTTGGTATGAAAAAGAGAAAGGCCATAGCCAGGGGGCAATAAAAGGAAGGTATTTTGAGACTTAACATTCACTTTATATCTTTCATATACCCCACACTTTATCAGATCATTTCTACATAATATTTCATTTAATTCTCAAATATTTCAAGTTTATCTCATTCCATAAGAAAGTTGATTCGGTAACATTAATTGACGTTCTTGTCCACAGTCACACACTCTGCTAATCTAAGTTGACAAAGTCAAAGTTATACCTCAGATCTGTCTGATTTTATTTTAACCTTTTTGGTACTGGGCATTGAACCCAGGGGTACTTAACCACTGAGACACATCTCCAGCCCTTTTTATTTTTTATTTCGAGACAGGGTCTCACTAAGTCACTTAAGGCCTTGCTGAGTTGCTGAGGTTGGTATTGAACTTGCAATCCTCCTGCCTCAGCCTCCCAAGGCACTGGGATTACAGGTGTGAACCACTGTGCCAAGCTTGTCTGATTGCACATTTTGTATTTTTCCTACTTTAGTGTTTTGTGGACATAAGTTTGAAGTCCTTTGGACCCGCAAAGAGAGAACTAACTGGCATTCAAAAATGTATCCCTGAAGCTCAGAAAAGAGTTGGAAATTAAAGATAAAATTTAAAAATAATCAGTTCATAAGAGCAGTTGAAGCCATAGAAAAGGATCACCTAAAGAGAATCTGAAAAGGTCTAGGTGTAGGCCTCAAATGGAATCCAAGGGCACATATAACATTCAAGAGTTAGAAAGAAGAAGAAGAAGAAGAAGAAGAAGAAGAAGAAGAAGAGAGAGAGAGAGAGAGAGAGAGAGAGAGAGAAAGGAGATTCAAGAAGATTTAGTAGTCAGAGAGTTAGAAAGAAAACAGGGTTATCTAGCTCACTAGATAGCAGGTCCCATGAGGGCAAGTACCCAAGCTAGGTGCGGTGTGCAGGCCTGTAATCCCAGTGGTTTAGGAAGCTGAGGCAGGAGGATCACAAGTTCAAAGGCAGCCTCAGCACAAGCCCTTAGCAACTTAGTGGGACCCTATCTTACAAAAAAAGAAAAAAAAGGTCTGGAAATGTAGCTCAGTGGTTAAGCACCCCTGAGTTCAAACCCTGATACCAAAAACAAAAACAAGTAAGCAGTTCCTCTTGTTCATTTTATATCTCCAATGTTAAACACTGATGATATAAAATGAATGTTCAGCAAATATTTGTTGAATAAGTAACTGGCTGACACTGAAGCTGAAGGAGAAGAATGTTTCCAAGAGACTAAGCAAGAACATTAAATGCTTTTGGAAAGACAATGAGTACCTGCAAAGATTGCCAATTTAAAATGTATATACTTTTCTCAGTTTTAAAAGACAGGACAGGGGCAGGGATTGTGGCTTAGCAGTAGAGCGCTCGCCTAGCATGGGCAGGACCCGGGTTCAATCCTCAGCACCACATACAAAAAAAGGCATTGTGTTGTGTCCATCCACACCTAAAAAATAAATATTAAAAAAAAATAGGACAATGAAAGACAAGGTGTGAAAAGTGATCACTTGATTAAGACAGTGAGCAAGACAGCAGTTAACAAAAGAAAACTAAGGGGTTGGGGATATAGCTCTGTTGGGAATGTGCTTCCCTTGAATGCATAAGGCCCTGGGTTCAATCTCCAGTACCACAAGGAAAGAAAAAGAAGATTAAGTTGAGTAACTGAGAAAAGTCAACTTAGTGGACTAAGCAGTGAATGGAAGTGAGGAAGAAAAGAAAAGTAGATACTATCATTTTAAGAAGTTTGATATAGGAGAATAAGAGAAATAAGTCAGTAGTTAAAGGGACAGCAGAGTGACACAAGTTTTTGGTTTGATGAGATGACAGACATTTCAACTTATTTGTGAACTTAAGAGACATTTCAACTTATTTGTGAACTTAAGTATCACTACAACTTTTAACACTCTAGTGTACGAGCCACTGTAAACTTGTTTGTAGTGTTTTTGATAAGCACTATGTGTGAAAGAAAAGAATTTTTCTAGGGAGGGAGGAATTTATTGAATTTTTGAAAAAGAATTTCCAAATATTTAGAAATATTTACACTGGCAGTTTACACCACTCACCTAGAGAAAATACTGAAAAGGATAACAAAAAAATTAGAATATTTTCAAAAAAACAGAAATGACTATTACAAAGCATTACTAGGAAAAGATACTCAAACTCATTTTGAAACTAAAATAATTTGTTTCATTCCCAACACAAATACCTTACCCAAGAGAAAAAATGTATCAGAGGCTTGAGAATGCTATTTTTATTAACTCTACAAAAATATTTTTTTAATATTTACTTTTTATTTGGACACAATACCTTCATTTATTTATTTTTATGTGGTGCTGAGGATTAAACCCAGGGCCTCGCATGTGCTAGGCAGGCACTCTACCGTTGAGCTACAACCCCAGCCCCACTATTTTTTAATAATAAACATTTAAAAAATATTTTTAGTTGTCAAAGGACATTTATTTTATTTACTTATACGTGGTGCTGAAAATCAAACCCAGTGCCTTACATATATACTAGGCAAGCACTCTACCACTAAGCCACAACACCAGCCCTACAAAAATATTTTAATTTAATATTTGTACACATATTTTAAGAGTTTTTCTTTAGGATCTGTCTTTTAATGTGTTTTTTGTTTTGTTTTCTAGTAGTAGAGATTGAACCTACGGTTTTGTATATTCTACACAAGTACTCTACCACTGAGTTACATCCCCAGTCCTATTTAAATTTTAAAACAGGATCTCACTAAGTTGCCCCAGTTGAAGACAATGTAAATATCATTAAGCAAAAAGGTAAGATGTAAACTAAAATAAAAATTGACAGGCAAGGTAGATTTCCACCAAAGTGAATCTAATGGAAAAAAACAGAATGAGTGGGCATGGAGAGGGTTAAAACGTAATTCCTAGCTATGGACACTAGATGGTGCAAATATTTTCCAGGACTTAAATTTTATTGACCTAATTACTCAAAACTTTTAAGGAAAATTCCCCCAAAGAAATTAAATTTCTTGACTCTATGAGAAAATTGATCTTTTTCTTTCTTGTGTGTGTATGTGTGTTATTTATGGCTACAGGGTGATTTGTATGTGTACATGTGTATCTTTGTTGTTTTCCATTTTGCTTTTGCTTGGCATAAATGTGTTGAACTTGCATATTTTCCAGATATCCTAGCCCCTCTGAGTCAGCAGCATCCTGCATGTGCCTAAATGACTGTTGGGTTGATGGTGGCAATGATTATGATATGTGTCCTCAAGGTTTTAGAACTAACTCAATTCTACCACTGCTAAGGAAAAACATAAAAGCAAAGTACCACAAGAAAAATCTATCCCCCAAATATTGTTGCATGGAAAATAGCAAATTTCTGGTCTAAGATACTAGGAATTCCTACAGAGTCATGATGAGTACTTACTTGAATTAGGGGGCCAGGATTCCCGGTATTCACTACCTGCTTGCATTCTGGGTGACTTGCTCCAAACCTGGGGAGTCACACAAATCACAGAAGTTATGATCAATAAAAGAACTTAACCAAGAAACTTAAATCATAAAAGGAAACCTAAAATATATACTTTTCTACTACCTCTTCCACAAAATACAAAATTTAACACATTTATCTTAATGATAGTTGTGTCAATTTATGAAAAGCTTTCTAGCTTCCAATGCATTTCTCATATATTTTTTCATCCAAGGCCAATTTCATTATGGCAGAAAAGGAAGAAGAATAAGCATTAAAGAGAGATCATGCGGTCAAAAGCCACAATTAGACAACTATGCAGCTGCTAAGACTAAGAGTTACCATGAAGAGTTCCTTCCCTGGATTGTCATACCATGATGAATACATTTCCACTGAGAAGAAAACCAAAGAGCAAACCAACTGGAATCTTCATCTTTTTTTTTAACGTAAATTTTTTATGACAGCAGAATGCATTACAATTCTTATAACACATATAGAGCACAATTTTTCATATCTCTGGTTATATACATAGTATATTCATCTTTTAGTGCTGCCTTCATCTAAATTAAAATTTATAAAACCAAGCTTGCTCATGGAGCTTGCTTAAGCGAAACATGGCAACAAGAGAATTACCTTCCTTTCTTGTTTCTTCTGTGTCTCCATGACGTGGAGGCGCTCCATTAGGCTGGAGATGCCCTGCTCCAGGCTGTCAATGGTGTGGTGCTGAGGATCATGGCCACTGAAGCTGTTTCGCAGGCTGCGGAGAGCATCTCGAACAAGCTGCAAGTCACTGGTCTGTGGATGAAAATAAGGTGCTGTTGCCAAAGTACAGTACCATATTATTAGTCATGTCGCAGCCACTGGACTTAAGAAGATAAAGGAGAGAAGTAGATCTTTTATTTTTGTGGAAGAAAGTTTCCTCCTCAGACACAGGCCTACTGTTTGCCCACTAATTCTTAATTTTAGTAAGCTAGTGCCTCACATCTTTTTTTTTAATTTTTATTAGTTATTGATGGACCTTTATTTATTGATTTGTTTATATGTGGTTCTGAGAATCAAACCCAGTGCCTCACACATGCTAGGCAAACGCTCTATCACTGAGCCACAACCCCAGCCCTAGTGCCTCACATCTTTACACATCCAGCAGAAACAAGAAATAGGGGACTAGAAGCCTCATCAATAGGGGATGGCTAGGACACTGTTCTGGTTTCAGCAAGAAGTGGCAGGCCTGTGTTCTACTCCTAGGAACCTACCCCTCTGTGGGTGATGGAAGCAGCTCCTTTTCCTGCTGTTGGAAGGAGAAAACCATTGCTTTGAGAATTGTGACTGTTGTAGTTGGTTACCTGTAGTAGCCAGAAGAAATGATGCCTGTTAAAGGGGAAGTTCTGAATCAAGACACCCTGTTTTAATTTTCTTCTTTACATTTTTATCACTTCCTGACAGAGTATATAGTTATTTGTTTAACATTTCTGTAAATATGTAAGCTTCACCAGCACCAATGCATTTTCCCTTTTGTTCCCTGATAAATCAATGTTGTACTCAATGCTTGCAAGGAATGGTGGATGTAGAATGAATGAAAGGAAACTTTAGCCTGGAGGCCAACAAATTAGCCTCTGTCACAGTCACTGGAGGGTCTCCTACTCCAAGCACCTCCTCCCTTTGCTTTGTAACAAAATAAGAACAGTGTAATATTTTTTGAACCTGACTGTGGGTCAGGTTGCTTTAATACAACCATATTAGTTATGTGGATTATGTCAGTAGTATTTCAATTTTCCAAATAAATCTTGCACTTAGGGCTCATCTTAAGGTCACACAGTGTAGACACAATAAAGCTGGAATTTGAAACCAGGCTTTTTTTTTTTTTAATCTTGGAACCTATACTCTTAACCCCCTCCCCATATAACCTCTCAGAAAATTGTCTGTGGCATTGGTTTAGCTCTTGGTGACAAACAGAATCTCCCTCTTTGCCAGGAAATGTGGGAAGGAAAACTCAAAATTCTAGGTTACCTCATCTACCTCTCTTTTCATACAGTGAGCCAAAAGGACATCTTTGTGTTCTAGTTCCCGTTCTAGATCCACCTGCAAAACAGAGATTAAATTTAAAAAGGGTTTCTTCAAGCCAAAGGGACAGGAAAACCAGTAGCTGAGTATGTTCTGACCTGCTGATGACTGGCATCTGAGAGTTTTCGGAGTGCTTCTTCCAGCTTGACCTGGTGCTGTTGAAGGAGGCGATCCTTCTGCCCCAGCTCTTTCTGTAATAGAGACAGTGCTTTCAGATGTGTAGCGAAACCCTCTGTAATGCAATTACACAGAGCCTCAGCAGGCAGGCCTTTCCCCAATATACCAGGAAGGTGTGACACACCACAACAGCCTTACACAGTGCAAAGGAAGGGTAAAGAGGATGGGAACTACCATTTGTAAGAGGACCACCATGTGCCATCCAAGCTAGTTAAAGACAAAGATAAACCTGGAACTGAAGTTTCCAGACTCCAGGTTCTGTGATCCTCCTAGGAATGCTATCTATTCTTCAGGGCCAGTAAATCAAGGAACAAAGAAAAAGATTTCCTTCCAGAAAACAAGGATGAAAACAGAATAACTTAAGTGTTCCTTGAGCAACAACAATGGGCTATTCATAAAAGGTCAGTCTGGTGGAAGTCATTTCCAAAACAATATTCATTCTTTTTTTTCCCCAATATTTATTCTTACTTTATATTCTCCCAAGAGCCGGTTCCTCTCATCCAGCTTCCTCTGCAGATCCACCTGCGATGATATAAAGAATTTACTGGCATGTGCAGCAACCTTCCTAGAAATGAGCTATTTGGTAACCAGCATTAATGTTGGCAGTTACAGCATACAGCACAGAGAGGGCATAGTTATGATAAAAACACACCGCTTCTCTCTGTGTCTTTAACTAAGATAATCAGACTACAGAACTACAATTTTATCTCACTGTCCTCAAACTTCAAGAGGTCAAGGACCTTCCTGCCCAGTGTGGTATGGGCTTTCACCTAGGAAAAAAATTAATCTGATGGGAAATAAAGATAACTGCAGACACTGAAGGCAGGCATCTCAGAAGCAAGATAAAGGGACATCAGGATGGCGGATCTACAAGCAATAAGGGGTCTCACTGAGGTCAGAGATCATACATTTGACTCACATTCTGGTTCTGAAGCTCATCTTTGTCCATATTTGCCCTCAGTAGTTCTTGTTTGAGCTGAAGAACAGCTGTGTCCTGCTGAGTCAATCTCTGTTGCAAGGCATCCTGGGGGAAAAAGCATACTAATTATTATGGTTTCAATTAATCAATTAGTCAGTTATTATCAAAAGTTACTAAATCCTTGACCACCATTAGTTAAGGTAAACTGGGAGACAAAAAGAGTATAAGGATCTTGCAATAAGAAGCCGACATCTGTCTTTTTTGAGGAGAGTAGCATCTAAGGAAAACTTTATCCATTGTTCTACCAACCTGATTGAAATTAGATTTTTTTTTCACCTACCACTCTTTCCTACCCTAAACTTCATTCCTGACTGCCTGATGTCCTGAGAATAGGATCAGATAGACCTAGACTCAAATTAAAAGTCTACTTTTGTGACATTGACTTGGACAATGAACTCTCCCTTCTCCCACCCTGGCTTTCTCATCTATATCTTGGGCATATAAATACCCATCTAGGGCTGGAGTTGTGACTCAGTGGTAGAGCGCTTGCCTAGTATGTGTGAGGCACTGGGTTAGATTCACAGCACAACATATAAATAAATAAATTAAATAAAGGTTCACACTGACAACTAAATATATTTTTAAAAAATACTGCATCTAGCTTAGCTCTTTTTCCCCTCTACCTCTCTGTACAGTTCCCATTTCCTAAAGGGTTGGTCCTATCCCCAATCACCTCTCTACTCATAAAGAATCACTTCCACTCTGGGGATCACTTCCACTCTGGCTTCCAGAGCCCTGCTGCTATCCCACTTCCACTGGCTTCCAAAGCCTATTCTGAACCAGGATTGGGATTACATTTCCACTGTCAATGTGTTCTTGGACTGATGGTTCCTCCTTCCAATTTATAGGATCTTACAGCTGTAGGCTGTCTTTCCCTCAGCGTGAACCCTCTTAGTTCCTACCATGCCTAGGAAAAGATAGGCTGGATGTACTTACTTGTAAGGGCCAGCTGTAACACATTTCCCCAACCCTCGTGATCTCAAATGAACTACTGCACTGGGGCTACATTCAGTATATTTATCCTGACTTTTCTCTCTTTACAGACCGCAAAGTATGGTGCAGGCCCTGAACAATGTGGGAGCCCATTCTTAATTATGCTAACTGCCATGACAGTAGATGGCAAAGGCAGTCTAAGATGTCCCTGGCATTGGTAGTTTAGAAGAACATTTGCAAAGTGTGCTCCATGGGATGTTAATGAGTTACAAGAAAAAAGTACTTTTTTGGTTAATAATTCTAATTTTTTTTAGGCCAACCTCTTTATGATAGACCTTCTCAGATCCTTTAATATGCTACTATCCACTGGGAATCTTCAAGATACCATAGCACTTCCCAAATGTCTTTGATCATGAAGCATATTTGTGCTTTCAAATATTTCAAAACACTAAGATTACAAAATATACTTTGAAAGTTACATTCCAGGCTAGTCCATGACTGGCTATGCAAGGAAGAGGGGAACAGCAGAGGCTTAAGAATATCTTCTTCTACTTTTGGGTATTTATTCAGTAGAAAAATCCCACTTAGATGAAGTAACATACATTAATGGTTATTAGCTAGATCATGGGTATTAGCAAAAGACTGGAAAATAAAATACCATCAATAGAAATATGATAAATACATTAGCATATATGTGTATATTAAAACACTACGAAAATATAAAAAATGCCTAAGAAGGTCTTTATTGAAACAGAATGATCTACAGGATCCCTTGCTAAGTGCAAAAAGCAAAGTGACAAGCTGTATTTACAGTATACTACTATTTGGGTGAAACAGACATTATACATATGTATATTTTACAATATACAAAAACATTTGCTGATAATTGATACATTACCTCCAGGAAAGAGAACTAGATGACTGGGGGGACAGAAACGGCAGGCAGACTTTTCCTGATCTGTCCTTTCATACCTTTAAACCACTTGAATGTTATTAACTATTCCAAAGCTAAGTAAGTAATATTTTTCTTTGGGAATAAAAAGGACATTCTTTCATATTGAAGAGAAGTACTTTACACGTGGAGACAACTGAGATGGCACAGAGGGAAATGGTAGCACCATGAATCATAACTACCAGACATAAACCTCAGGAAAACAAAGATACATTCTTCAACATGCCTCAATTCCCACCCACAATAGTACAAAGCCTATTAAAGACCCCTAGCAAATTAAAACGATTCTCCTAGCACCCAACTATTGCCACTTACCAATAAACTACTTTACCTTACAGAGACTTTATTTAAAGAATTAAATATCTTCCTTTTTACCTTTATACCCTGTAAGTTTCTGGCTTCTTGTTTACATTTCAGCAGCTCTTTCTGCAAACCAAATATAGTTACATCAGATGGTGGCATCTGGGTTGCTTCAGAAGCATTACCTCATTCTGTCAGTGAGAAGACAAAACCCAGTTTACCATCCCATGAACGATTAACCCTCTACTGAGGCAGACAGATGTGGTCCAGTAAGCATTAAAGGCTGACCCACAAAAACAAGAACAGGACCTACTCCATTCTTCTCTGTGGCATCTCAGCTTAATTGCCCAGAAACAGTCTTGCCAAGGAAAAAAACATCCCATCAATCTCCACAGGCTCTCTATATTTTTCATTCTTCACCAACAAGAAAATCTAATCATAATAATCTAAATCGCTCTCACTGAAATATATAACCATATCTAAATATGCCTATGTCCATGTCATTAAATAATTATCTCAGTTCTTAAGGTTCAGCTAAGGATTGAAGAGCTTCTGGACTCCACTCTCTTCTTTTCCTAACACATCATATTTAATTTGCATTTCCTAATGCATCATATTTAAAATGCACCCATTTAATTAACATATCCAAAATGGGATTTTTTTGTGTGTGATACTACTGGGGATTGAACCCCTAAAGATACACCCCTGCTCAGAGCCACTGACTCAAACCCCACCCTTTTTATTTTGAGACAAGATCTCACTAAGTTGCCCAGGCTGGCTTCAAACTTGTGGCTCTACTGCCTCAGCCTCCAGAGTCACTGGGATTATAGGGGTGTGCTACCACACCAGGCTCTAAAATGGTATCCTTAACCTGGACTCCACAGATGGGATTGAAAATTACCCTATTAAAATTCTCATCTGTGGGCTGGGGTTGTGACTCAGCGGTAGAGTGCTCGCCTAGTGCGTATGAGGCCCGGCATTCGATCCTCAGCACCACATAAAAATAAATAAATAAAGGTATTGTGTCCAACTACAAAAAAGAGTAAAGATTTTTTTAAAAAATTCACATATGTGAGTATGTGTGCATGCACACAGGTATATTTCTGGGGAAAGGGTTAACGTCTTTAGTCATATACCTATGACTCAAAAAAATTAAAAACCACTGACCTAAAACAATTCTGCAAAGTATTCATAAAAATACCACATTGATATTAGACCCATTTTTTCTTTTAATTAGAAAAGAAATATTTCAAACATAGAGAAAGTACAACCAATTATAACACATATATCTATTACCCACAACCATGATTTAAAAGGTATTACTTTTTTTCACATGTTTGGATATATCTCTGTCTTTCAATTAAAGACAAAATACAGGTAGAGGTTCAGCTAACATCCTGATTCCGCATCCCCTTCCCTTCACACAAAATTGTCTTGAAGTTTGTGTGTAACACTCCCATTATTTTTTTTCAAAGGGTAAAAGGCACATGTCCTGACATACCTTTAGGTCCTGATTCTCCACCATACTCTGATCCAAACGGCTTTGAATTATAACCTAACGTAAGAAAAAAACAGATGATTATACAACTATGATATGAAATTCAGAAGCCACTTTGTTTGAAAAATATTTATCAATCACCTTCTAGATATCAGCTCTGCACTGAGGCTACAAAGAAAAGGAAACAGTTCCTGCCTTCTGATGGAAACATAGGCCCAAAGTGCAGCAAATAGAACAATATGAATAATGCTTAGAATAAGTATGTGTGTATTGGGAGCAGGGGATAAGATAAAGGGAGAAAGAAAAATGACAAGAGATGAAGTTGCAGAAGAAAATAGGGGCCAGATCATGAAGGGCCAGTAAGGATGACAAGAAACTGATGAAGTCTTATGCAAAGAGATAACAAAGTGAAGTTGGCCTCTAGGAATATTATTCTTGTTATTTTATAGAAAACAAATTAGAGGACAGAAGAGGAATTAGGAGAACCAGTTAGCAGGAAACTAGAATGCTGGATGAATGCCTGAATAAATTAGTGGCTATGAGAATTGAGACAACTACATGTAGAGGGAAGGATCAGAAAGGATTTAAGGATGACATCCAACTTTCTGTTTGGGACACTGGGTAGATGCAAAGAGATGTACAGACATCCAAAAGGACAAGTAGTTTTGGCAGTTGGGTGGAAGACAGAAAAACTGTTCAGTTTAGGTCTCACTAAAATTGAGATGTTTATACCATATATAAATGAAAACAGTCAGCAGGCAGCTGCATGTTGCATATACAAATCTAGAACTCCATAGAGTGTTTTGGACTGCAAATACAAAAATAAGAAACAGATGGGAAGTAAGTAAAGACACGGAGGCAGTCTGCCCAGGGGACTACATAAGACAGATGAGGACCCAGAGTAGAACACTGAGAGGCACTAACATTGAAGACATAGGCAGTAAAAGGGAAGCTTCAAAGGGGAGCTGAATTTAAACTCTCTGAGGGTAGGGTCTTAGGCCTGTTTTCCCACTACCATATCTTCAGCACCTTGAAACAGCGCCATACAGAGTCAGCAACAAGAGTTAGAGACAGCAGAGAGCAGGTTCCAAGAAGGTGTGGTCAGCAGAGTCAAATGCTAAGAATAAGTAAAATATATACACTAGATTAGTGTCCAGTTACAAAAGATGGAGCTCACCAGTTGTTCCTCCGGATTGGCTCCTGGCTCACAGAGGGCCAAAGGCCTTTCCTGTTCATCTTCAGGTAAGGATCCATTGAGCAACAAGGCCTGAATAACCAAAAAGGCAGAAAGAAACTTAAATTCCCATCAGATGACTTACTCCAGAGATGGGCTTGGTAAGCTCACTCCAACTGAAATGACAGTTCTGGCTTCCTCCAGAAATCTCCTTGGTACTTTTGCCCCTAGATACTTCCAATTCCTTTCCTTGGGACCAGCTTCTTTTGTCAGACCCATGCTCTAGGCCTCTTTCATCTTTCTGTATACAAGTGAACCCTCTGCTCCTGGGCTCCTTAGCCCCAGAAGAAAATCTAAAAACAAATCTTCCTTTCAGAAGTGACAGAGCATATTTAAAACCAGAGCTGCTCAAACTGCTCAAACTAGAAAGGATCTAAAAGCAGTAAAGAATTATCTTGGATTAGAAAAGTGTATCATAATGACTTATTTGGAATACACATGACTTGAGATTGTTTGATTTTTGCTTTAATAATTCTTCATTTTTACTTTCTAAGGCAACCTGGATAGAATAAGAAGGAAGACTTCTTTACAAAGATGTCCTCATTCATTTTAATTCCAGGTTCTGTTTGCATTAGAATATTAGGGAGTTTCCAGGAATCCCAGTGACTTCAGAGGCTGAGATAGGATTATAAATTCAAGGCCAGCCTTAGAAACTTAGGAAGTCCCTCTTTTAAACTTTTACAAAATAAAAAGGACTGGGGATATAACTCAGTGGTACAACACCAGTAGGTTCCATCCCCAGCACTGAAAAGAAAACAAAAAATTTAGTGACTGGAGGCAGGCAGTTAAGGAAGTCCAGCTTTAGGCCCCCTATGTGTGTTCTCTCAAGACCCTATCCTAATATTGTATTTATATTTCAAAACCTTATTCTTAAAGTTGAATGTCTCCCCAAATTGTATACTTAAGCACTCCCAAAACTTGGATCTGTCCCTTTAGGAAGGTATTATGAGACCTATCAGACCAGTGAAAGATTAAAAAATATGTTCCTATTTTATAATACAATTCTGTCTCAATTCAAAAGAGAAGAATTACAGAGGTTAAATCCTGGTTCAATTGATATAACACAATTTCATCATAAGTGTTGATAAAAACATCTTAAAGTCCAGCCAGTGATTGATCTACTAAATACTGCTAATAAAATATTAGTAAATCAAATTAAATTGGCTATTTCATAGAGTTATGGAGAGAAGCACAGACATGTACAAGACATGTATAGTCAGGGCTATACAGGGGCTAAGGGAGAGTAGCAGTACAGAAATAGTGACTAATGGAAAATTGTTCAACTGGTTCTAACTAAGGCATACTAATAAATCGGAAATCCTCAATGTGGCTTAGCATGTAATTTGTTCATCCGTGAAAGAGTTAAGAAGTCCAGTGGATGCTGTGAGTCCTTTTGTATTCTACAATGGAACTGAATTCTCATTGTGATCATGTGCCTATGAATTAAAACTCCCATTTGCAGGGAATATTAAGATGCTGACTTTCTGCCTGTCAATTATCTTCTCTTTCTGTTTCAGCTGCCATCATATTTCTCCAAGGCTAAGATACAAACCAAACCAAGAGCTAAATTGATGGATATACATGCTCATATAATGCAAATTATCCTGGGAAAAACCCGACTGGCTACAATCCCTAAGTTCTCTATGGAATACCTCCTAGTCAAGCACAGGAAAAAAAAATCATTAAGATATTCCTTAATGGAGTGGCAGAAAAAGGACCTAAAATGCCTCATAAGCTAGATGTTTTTAAAATATGGAGCAAATAAAGGAAAAACCAACAACTTTCTTTGGGAATGTTTAGGCAGTAACATTCCTCCAAACATTCCCCCAAGCCTTCACAGTCCCAGGGGATACATTATGCAAATTATTTTACCACAGCACCAATATCCTTTTTTCTTTAGGAACCCTTTGTGTCCCCACCCTGTTGCTGGCTGGCTGGGAGCACACCCTCCATTGCCTGCCGGCTGCCAGAGCCACACACATAATGTGGGCTTTGTTTATGTGTCCATAAATATTTCACAATTCAGAAGCGGTGCAGTTCCCAGCACAAACAGAAAGGAATATTCCTAGGCAATTTCAGGGTCATCAGCACACTATAAGGGCTCCCCCAAACAGAGATGGTCACACAAAGACAGAGGATTGAGGGGGTCATTCAGGGTGGAAACCATGTCAAGTGGGTCACCAGTCTCTGAAGAGATTTGCCGAGCTGACACTGCAGGTACAGGAAAAACTGAAGGGCTTTGTTGCTCAAGGAAAACCTTTTCTACCTGATCACTGGGACTTGGCATCCACTTGCAAATGCATTAGGAGTGGGCTAAATCCCTTAGCTAGAGGAAAATGGAAACCTGGCGGCATTACTTGTTCTTCCACCTTCCTTAGTGAAGAATTCCTGGGAGAAAATTCCTGACTATTCACAGTGCCATTCTTGGCTGAAAGCTGCAATTGCAGATTTGTAACCACCTAAAGAAGACTGCCTGTGAAACAGAGTCAGAATAAGTGCTTGGTAGGGGCTGGTGATGGCCCCGGAGCTTGCAGAAATCCTAACAGCTGTGCTACAAACCGTCCACAAAGTCCATTTGAAGCACTCACATATTAGCAATTTTTGCTTTTTGTGTACTACTATATCTAAATTCCCTCATTCAACTCTCATCTCATACAAAACTAAAATCAGGGGTTTTTTTTTCAATTTACACTAGTGACTTAAAAATAATAATCAATTGGTGCACTGAAGACAAACTACAAGAGAAAGAGCTACCTGTAGTCCTGATATCATTTTCTTTGCTTCCTCCATTTCTTTTTCTAAATGTTCTTGTTGTTCCAACAGCTGTTCTTCCCATGAGGTCTCCAGATAGGTTCTAGGGCTCCCAGGTCGCCAGTCTCGGGATAATGGAGAGTCTATCTCCTCTACAAAATGAAAGGAAGGGGTATAGTTCATGTTGGAGGACACTGATTTCCAGCAGAAAGCGTTCACAAGAGTAGTTTACAGGTTCAGGTCACCTGCTTTCTGAACCTGTCCTCACATATAAACTGAACTCTCCACCAGGTGGGGTTTGTGAGGCATAAGGAACTGACTGTTAACTCAGGTTTCAGGACCAGCAAAGCATCATTCACTCTGCTATGGAAAACCATTTCTTAAACTCTTAGGAAGCAGTAGGACTCCCACCATCAGAGTCTTAATTCTCTAGAATTGGCATTCCCAAAGCCTGAATTTGCCAGATACAAAGAAAGAAACTGTCAGGTGTAATGAAAACAAAATTCCTGTTGGTTATGCTAGAGTTTTAGAAGGGAGACCATGATTCAATATTCCTTTGATTCCTTTGCATCACGACTGAACCCCTTTCACATATAATACTGTGTGAGTCACACAGGAAATAAACTAATAAAAGCATACTTACAAAACTGTTTAATATCACTCCCTGGTTTTATTTCCCTACCTTTAAAGCTTCTTTGCTCTGGTTTTCTCATCTATTTTATCTTAATTGTATTCAGAGTAACTTAAAATTCATCATGAAATAAAAAAGAGTATAAGCTCTTGGAGTAAATGTCTTTATTCATAAAAGGAGTATAATAATTCCTCTGGGTTGTGGTAAAGATTAAAAGAAGTAACTTATGGGTGGGGGATGTAGCTCAGTGGTAAAGCACTTGCTTAGCATACACAAGGCCCTGGGTTCAATCCCCAAGACCATAAAACAAACAAAACAAAAACACTTCTGTGCAGGGACTGGTGGTACCTGGTTCGGAGTAGGCACACAATAAATATTTTCCTCCTCCCTCTGCAAGGTCCCAGGAGTTTCTGACTCAGTAGTATGACTAGCTTTTTGGCCGTAATGGTAGGACTGAGGGGTAAGAAAGTATGGAAAAATTTAATTACAGCTTTTCTTCCAAGTACTTCGGTTTCATTACAACACTTATGAGTGAATGAAATTCAATGTAACTTTTATGCTATGCTTCTTCTTTGCTTTTCTTTATGTTTAGGTTAAAAAAAAAAAAAAAAGGAGACCAATGAGATTGACCACGGAGAAGCCTAAACAAAGGGAAGTCTTTGAGGTCTCTCTGTAGCCCTCATGTGGAGCCTGATGTAGACTTGCTCTCTAATGTGTATTCTCCATTCATACTCTACATTCCTGGCCCTAATTTAAGTTAGAGAAGTACCAAAATTGTTTGTAAAAAAATAGGAGTAATAAAAGTTGTTGGCTGGGGTTGTAGCTCAGTGGTAGAGTGCTTGCCTAGCATGTGTGAGGCACTGAGTTCAATCCTCAGCACCACATAAAAATAAATACACAAAATAAAGGTATTGTGTGTCCATCTAAAACATATATATATATATATAAATTTTAAAAGTTGTTTACGTAAGTAAGTCTTCTAAATGTTCTAAAGGTCCCTAAAGTCCTTTTCTAATTAATAGGCAGCCAGGTAGGAAAGGGCCTATCTATGCTGCTGCAAGATTTTTGACAGCTAGAATATCAGAAAGGACAGTAAGAGGATAACTACACTAATTGGCTCTTGGGCATTACAGCCCTCCACAGCTAACCTCACATGCACAGACCACAGAGAGGGACAAGGCTAGGGAGCTTAGAGGTAGATAATCAGGACCTCCAAACGCTTCAAGTTCAGAGACTCTCCTTGAGCCAACCCAAGCAGGCAGACAGACAGTACCTGTTCTGTTCTCTATTCCTTCAGAGGGAATAATCACAAAATCTGCCTTCTCCTCCGACTGTGTTATAATGGACTCACTCTTTGCACTGTGAATTGGACTGGGTGAAGTCAGGCTGTGATTCAAGAAAAAGGAAAAGAAGCAATTACTACAGTTGTTCAGAAGCCAGCTTTCATAATTTATCCCAGAGAGAAGTCTTAATCATCGTACCCATAGTGCCTAACACAGCACCTAACCCATAGTAAGAACTATTTATTAGATGATAAACTTGTTTAATGAATAATCCAGTCCTTGAAAGTCTTTTCCACAACAAGGCTGCCTTTAAGCATCACTGATTTGAGAAGAAAATTATCAGGACAGGTAATCCAGCATTTAAATAACTTTAAGATTTTGTTTTGTTTTGTTTTTTACCTTTCACTACCTCCACCATCACCATTCCCCAAGCGTGTGTTCTGAGACAAATGCCAGCATGTGTCTTAGTAGCTTTTGGAGCTAGAAAAAAACTTTTATTTCCAATACACTGATCTCTTACACAAGCAATACCAGCAGAGTGTTCACAGATCAGCTCTATCCCCAAAGAGATAGGGTCAGGATAGCTCGGGGTAGAAATTGCTGGAATGAATATAGTGTATACAGGCTGAGCAGAGGGGCAGTGATTTATCAACAATTGAGCCAGAAAATAAGGGTAAGATGTCAAAAGGAGAAAGATCTGCAAGGAGTAGTGAAATAAGGGTTCACTTGATTTACTCCCATCAAAGTAAATCATTACATATCTCTGCCGCAGTATTTTCAAATTGTCATCAGAAACCTCTCAATAATTCTTAAGTTCTGATATAACTACTATCCTTCAGAGGCACTGTTCAGATTTTCAGGGAAGAGGAATTTTAAATCTTTGGAACCACAATAAATAATAAGACTAGATGGGAATGTGAGGCTGATGCTTCGGTCTGAGAGGGATAAAGGAGTCTGAAGAGCCATTTCTCCCTGCACTGCACCTTGAGAATATCAGCACTGAAACAATCTCAGGGGCTGTGGGGTTTGCAGGCCCAGCCCCCTTATAGAATTCCTTCAAATTCATCACCCAGACAACAGTGAAAGTGTCTAGGATTCACTGACCCACTTAATGTGCCCCTGAAGTCTTCCAGACTAATCCTCACAACAACGATCAGGAGTTAAGATATCATCTTCCTAGAAACCCACAAAAAACAAGAGCCAACCACAGTGAAACAACCAAAGACTTCAAAACCTCATGTAAAGTAGCCTGAGGACTACTGTCCACAGTTGAAGTGTTTTGGTGGATATGACCTTAGTGAGTACTATATTCTGTTGCTTCTCAGAACTACAGGAAAAAAAATTATAGTTTTGTGCTACTCCACATTTTAAAAAGTTGCTTAATAATATGTATAGATCTACAACACAACACAAACAGGCAAAAGGGGTAAGGAGGATGAGAAAGCCCAATGAGTGCTTTCCAGAACCCCTGTTCATCTCTCACCACCTATGCAATCTGTTTCAGACTAGCATGAATTAAAATGCTGGAAAAGCTCTCAACTAAAACTGCTATGTCATTTATAAGATTTATGACTGCTCAGGCCTCAGCATTTACCTCTTATAGAAATGGGAATCCAGGTGCAGAAAGAAACCTACAACAGCTGCTCCTCTTTGAGGAATAAGGCAGCCCCGCTTTCTCAGCTGACAAGGTGCTATTGCTGACATGTTCCACTGCCTGCATCTGGCTGGACTCCAGGAGGTAGGTGCCAGACAAAGCGAGGACGGGGACAGAGGTAGTGTGAACTTAGGATGCTGGAAAACTGCTTTCCTAAAAGCGCAGACGCATGCTCCGTTCCTCCTCCTCCTCGTAAGTGAGCTTTTCCCCATATAAGGGCAGAAGGGGGCGGATGCCTGGATAACCAACCCCTTTGGGGGCGTGGCAGAGCAGCCAAAGGAAAACAACATTTCTTTTTCTTGAATTGAGGCTGCCTGGGTGAGGCCAGAGGTAAGACCAGGAAACTAGATGGCCAAGTCAAAAAAGGGGAAGGACCTGAGAGAAAAATCCAGAGGCGCAGGCCAGAGCAGGGAGGGTGCTGCCTCCCTAAGTATTTCAGGATAAAGGAGGTGCATTAAATCCTCTACCTCAGGTCAGAGTAAAGTATTTTAATGCTAATTAATTCTAAGACTTTGGCTCCTCCCGGACTACTTTAAAAGACATAAAATAAACAAAAAATCCCTTACTTGCTATCATAATCCTCTCTGAGATCAGAGAACAAATGATTACAAATCAGGTCCAACTGGTAATATTTTTTAATTCCCACAGGTCTAATATCTCTCCTATGCTAATTTATTAGACAAGAAATCCCCCCCCCCCCGCAAAGACCAAAGACCCTTCAAATTAGACTCATTTTTTTTTTTAGGCGATAGGCGATAAGGAACAGTCCTGTCTCCTCCCGAAGACACCTCCTTTAGCAGAGACAGAAAAGGGCCAGTCCTTCCTCTATAGCTGGCTCCAGATGCCTAGAACCACCGTATTTTATAGTTATAATCCCAGGCCAGCAGCCTGTCCTCCCCAATAAAGCGCCACGACTGATCCCCGTCTCTGTGGCCAACAGCATCCTCCAGTCCTGGCCTTACTCCCACCCATGCCCCCACCTGCAAAGCCCAAGTGGCTTCAGCTCACCATTTAACTTGGGTCCCTCCCATGGTCCCCTCCTGGCTCGGGCTTCAGCAAGCCTGCTTCTCTGGGTGAAGTGGAAGGCTAAGAGTCACAGCTCTCCCAAATTCAGGCATGTCTCCCCGCTCTGGGGCCCGAAGAACGACTCCCGGGACGAGCCAACCCGCGGAGAAGCTGGTCCCAATTGCCGGAGAAAGTATAAAGGGCAGAGGCCGGCGTCTTGGCACCAGAGACAGGGATGCTCCCGGGTGTGAAGCGCACTGTCCCAGCAGCTCAGACTCTGCCGCAGCCCAGCCTCAGAGGAAGCCGCCTCCTCTTGTCGACAGCCCGTTCCTGGCAGCTGCATCTTCGTCTCCGCGGCCGCGCGGCTCTGGGCATCCCCGGAGGCGGAGGCATCTCAACCCATCTCCGACCCGGAGAGAGGCTCCCAGCAGCTCCGGCTGCGCGTCGAGTCCCCAGCCGCGAGCGTGCGGGTGATCCCGCTCCGCACCGCCTCCCCTATCCCTCCCACCTCACCCGCCTCCCTCCCGAACCTTCCCAGGCTGTCACAGGCGACGAGGCAGCGCTGGGCTCGGACCCAAGCCGCTCTGGGCAAAGGTAGGGGTGCGAGCCGGGGATAGGAGCGGGGTCCGGGCAGCGGGGAACGGTTTGGAGCCCCAGGATAGGCGGGGGAAGGGCCACGGATCGGAAGAATCACCCGGAGGGCTCGAGTGATCCTGATCCTAAGAAGCGCAGATTGGAAATCGCTGCCGCTCCACTGCGACCCCTCCCTTAGTGGACCCGGTCTAACGCGCAGGTTTAACCCGCAGGGAGCCCAGCCCGGCTTCCCGCAAGTGGGGGAAGCTAGCGGGGTGGAGACTCGGGCTGTCCCTAGGAAACCCGTTGGACGCCCATTTCCTCCCACCTTCCCCTCCGGCGTTTTATGTTTTCTCCTCCCTCCCCCGCCCACTCCCCCCACCACCACCACCACCGCCGCTCTCCCCCCCAAACTGAGGATCTTTTTGCTAGGATACAGTGACAGGCTGGCCCGAGGTTATGGAGCAACAGGCGGGCAGGGCTATGCCCGGGGTATCCCTGGAGCTCCAAGGAAAGGGGATCAGACCTAAGGGGCTATCCTTCCTATCTTCCGAGCCACTCTCCGGACCACCCACATCCCTGGATCTCCCGGCAAGTCTCCTATCCCCTTCAGGGGTACTCCCTGGGGCGGGGCGGTGGGCGGGGACAGAAGTGCCAGGGCCTGCTGGTCCCTGGTAGCAGTGAGAAGCCCACTCCTTCCCTGGGCACTTCCGGAAGAAAAGGCAGAGTGTGAATTCTCAGTGAGTTGAGTGAGGGACTGGCAGAAGAAGAAAATGGCAAAATCGGGAAGGAGAAGAAAACAAAGGAGAATGAATACAAATTATTCTCCTCCAACCCTTCTCCTAGAACAGTGGTATCCTGAGCAGCCTTCTTTCCAGTGGGTCCCTCAATTACAATCTCAGGAGCTCCAGCCCCAATCTAAGTCCTCCTGCTTGGAGGAAGGAAGCAGGTGCTTTCAGGAGGAGATCCATTTCCTCATCTCTGTCTAACTAAAACAGGCACTGTCATCAGAAGAGTAAAGGCTTATAGACTGCAGGAAGCAAGAGATCTCATTATACAAGGAAATATCTTTTGATTCTGTACCAACTGATAGTCCAAGCAGAAAGCAAAAAAGCAATGGTTCAGACTGTCATTAAAAGCACACATATTGCTCAGTGGTTATGGGCTTGCTTTTGGGATGATGAAGATATCTTCCAACGGGATAGTGGTGATGGCTGCACATTATGAAGATACTAAATGAGTGTGCTGGATTGTATACTTCAGAATGTTTAATGGTTGATGTATGTGCATTTTATAAATAAAAAAGAACACCTCTTAAATGTGAAAATTTTAAAGTTGATCAAGGTTTCAAGTATATTAAAATGCTGGAAAGAGTTCCATATGACCTCAATAAATTAGAAAATGGTCTGTCAAAATAGGATGGATTTTTATGAAGGAAAGACATAAGAGAAAAAAACAAATATATAGAAGGAACAATTAGGCTTAAACAGAATAGACTTCACTGGTTAAGGTACAAGAAAAAAGTCACTACAGCGTAAGTAAAGTATGATTCATCAATAAAATGAAATTAGTAAAAAAGCTAACATGATCTGAGGATGTGTTTGCAGGAGTGTGATTTACATGAGTCAGGAAAATAATCTTTTTCTTTCACTACTCTTGGCATTGGTCAGGCTTTTATTAGAGCAGTATCCTGTTCTGGTCTCTGCCCTTGGTTCTAAAGGAGACTGAGACAGCCTCTCCACCTAGAGTCATAAACATTATTAGCCCACTCAAATACATACTGATCTGCCACCATTTCCAGCCCTGAAATTGAATATTGGAATGCTCTTAATGCTTCAGACAACTCTGCTGAATTTCTTTTCTTGCTGTGAGATTTATACAGCTTTCTCCAGACATAACTTAAGAGTCATACTCAGGATCCAAGACAGTGCAATGAAACTGGCTGTCATAAACATTGGCAGCTGGTACACAAATGTCAGCACCACTAGGCTGGGATCTGACAGGTCCCAGACATGCCCCCATGTGGTCACAGCTAAGCATTGGCACTGAGGCTCCACAGTTTCTCTGTGTGAAAATTCACCAGCCTCATTCACCTCCTGTCAATACAAAATCACATGCAATGCTGAGGGCTCTCTTTTAAAAGTCAAACTGAGGATAGAAAAAGAGGTTAGGGAGCTGGGGGTGTAGTTCAGTGGGAGAGTACTTGCCTAGCATGTGTGAGGCACTGGGTTCTATCCTTCGCACTGCATAAGAAAACTAAACAAACAGGGAGTTGGGGTTGTGGCTCAGTAGTAGAGCTTGCGTAGATGCTTGAGGCATTGAGTTCGATCCTCAGCACCACGTAAATGTAAAATAAAGATATTGTGTCCACTTGAAACTAAAAATATAAAATTTTTTTTTAAAACTAAACAAATAAATAAAGGCATGCTGTCCATCTGTAACTATAAAAAATTTTTTTAAAAAGAGGTTGGGGGGCTGGGGATGTGGCTCAAGCAGTAGCGCGCTCGCCTGGCATGCTTGGGGCACTGGGTTTGATCCTCAGCACCACATAAAAATAAAATAAATATGTTGTGTCCACCGAAAACTAAAAAAGAAATATTAAAAAATTCTCTCTCTTGAAAAAAGAAAAAAAGAGGTTAAGTGTCTTAGTTGCTTGCTGTTTTGCTACCTGAAGTTGAGAACCCTGAGAATACCCAAAAATTCAGCCGTAATGTAAGGAATCTGAGGCCAAATTACCTGGAGCAGCTCGACTCAGAAGGAGACCTTTGCTGTCCTTCATACTGCTGCACCAGGGCGCGCACACTCCAGTATGGATTCTCAATCTCCTCATCCATGCTACTGTTCCTAAAGCCAAAGAGTAAAAAAGGGGAAAGTATCAGTTCTTCAAATCAGGTCAACTCTAAATGTACTGATACTCTAACACTCTGTGAGCACCATAAGCAAGAAAATGAATAAGGCAAAACCCCGCCTCAAAGAAATCTAGTAGGGAAGGCAGGCCAAAAAAAAAAAAAAGGGAATTTCATCAATCTCTGCAACATTTCAGGGTTGTTCTCTCCCTCATCAGATGCATAATCCCCAAAAGACTTTCTGCCATGACTCTCCAGGACATCTTAGTCTTCTGGATATATACCAGTGTAGATCCTCCCCCCAGACGGACTAAAGTATTACTCCTACATATCTCTCTGTGAACCAGAGGAAAACCCGTACACATATAGTTCCCTTACATTCTAGTAATTGCAAATAATCATCTCAAACAGAAATAAACTTTTCTCTTGGGGTACCTTCTCAAACCTCCCCTCCATGTTTTTTTCTGCAATGTGGGGCTGTTTATGTGATACTTCCAACTCCTGTACTGTATTGTCTAAGAAAAGAAATACCAGAGAGAGATATTAGTTTCCATCCCCAGATTTCTACTCTTACCTCTGTCTGTATCTGAAGACATCTCGTCCTGATCGTGACATGTCATGGCACACATCAGCTAAAGCAGCAGCTGCTCCTTGAGCCACGGCAGTGGCACAATGTGGCTGGTGACTCTGTAGAGGGGCTCTGGAGTCCTGTCCTTGGCTCACCATCCTGCTAGAGCCAGGTTTGAAATGAGCTGCCAACGCAAGGACCAGCCTCATGATGGACTTCAGGTTTCCTTCCACAATATCTGAAGGACCAAACAGACCAAGAAGTCCTGAGAAAGAAGCAGAGGCTGAAGACTTGCGTTACAAAGAGCTAGAGACACACAAGAAAGGAAGTCAAAGTCTTGGTCTTCACAAAGCCATATTCAACAAAGGAGAAAGAAGGTCTAAAAGCAATTACATAATAAGTACAATAACATTCAGATCACAGAAGTACAGAAGTCTTTGGGAGCTCAGAGTAGAGGCATCTTAGAGGGCTCAGGGATATATTCTTAAAGAAAGTGAGTCCTCAACTGAGACTTGTTTGATGAAGAGTGGTCCATGAATGAAAGAAGGGAAAAAAGTAATCTGGGAAGAAGAAAAAGTAGATTTAAAGGGCCTGCAAATGAAAGAACTGTACTGTCTGACATAGGAGCCACAAGCCACATGCTGCCACTAAGCATTTTAAATTTCACTACTCTGAATTGAAATGTGCTCTATGTACAGTACTTACTTAATACACACATAAAAAATGAATGACAAATATCTCATTAGACTTAGTACAAAAATAGAATATGAAACATCTCAGTAATTTTTGTACTGATTTCAAAATCAAACAATAGTATTTTGGATATATTGAGTTAGATAAAGTATCATCTCATTAATTTTTTATAATATGGCTATTAGAAACTTTTAAGTTACCAGTGTAATTTACGTTATATTTCTGGCGCTCAGCTTTGTGGTGAAGGAACTGAGAGAAGTTCAGCATATACAGAGTACTGGATCCAGAGGAAGAAGGGAAAGATGAGCAGTGATGGAGAAACAGAGGTTGGTCATACAGGACAGAGTAAGCCATAGGAAAGACTTTGGATTTTATTCTAAGGGCCCTCAATGCAGAGGAATATCATAAGCATACATTCTTAGATCATTCTGGCTGCAGTATGGTAAGCAAAAAAGGAAAGGGAAAAAATCAATGCAGCAGGACTAATTAGGAAACTGTAGTGCTTCTCCAGGTAAAAGACAATGATGCCCTGAATGGCAGGGTTCCCTTAAAAATAGCGACTTTACTGGGCCAGATCCCCAAGCCCACTCCACATGGGGACCAGATCAAAGATATGGCTCTCTAAATTCTGCCCTAGAAAAAAAAGGCAAAAAGTAATGTGATAGAACTGGTGAAAATTAACTCAAAGTAAAATTCTATTTATTTAGCCTCTTAACCTTTTAAATATACAAAACTTAGAAAAGGATTATTTGATATGTCCTCTGAGTGTTCTCAGTGGTTCAGCATTTGCCCACCTGAATGACCCCTACACAAAGAAGTCCAATAATCCAACATGAAAGGAAGGCTCCCTTCTGACTCCATTGTCAGATAGGCAATCAGACCCAGAAACTGAAGCTGCAACAGAACTAGATCCAATCAATTCTAGAGAAACAGCAAAGGATTAGGGAGCCTATGTTTTCTAAGGACACCTATATTGCTCCTTCTTTGCAGCCTGGCCAAACCCACCTGGGTCATGTCACTACAGAAGAGGACATATTCAGAGGCCACAGAGCCCCTTCTATCCTGCCTGGAATGTATTGATATTCAGAAAATGCTATAAAATATTTTCCTTCTAGAAAACTGGGAGAAAAAAACACGTTATGATAATGTGAAATAATATTTGGTCAAAAAACCCAAGGAACTTGAAAAATATTATCTATTTCCATTTTTGAAAACTTAGACATTCTAAAATTAATATCATAATTTTGTCATTTATTTTTGTACAATTAATTCTCCCATATATACTCAAGGAGTTCTGTATCCAACTACAAAGAATAGAGAACTTCTATCTCCACCCAGGTTTCCACAGCACTCAGATTCTGATAATCAGTCCATCCCAAGAGGATAACTTTTGTTACGGAAAAATGACATGAGGCCATTCTACAACCCTTGGCTAGCTGAGAATGTGGCTCAGTGGAAAAGCACTTGCCTGGCATGTACAAAGTTCTTATCTCCAGCACCAGGAAAAAAAAACTAGCCTCTTTAGTATAGACTCATCCTGCGTTCAATCGGTGTTTTTTTATGCCTAGGCAAAAAAAAAAAAAAAAAAGCCAGTGGCTACACAACCAAGAGTGTTGTTTCTAAGACTGGCAAACACCAGTAAAGCTGAGTGTGTTCATCCACCAAGGATGTGAAGAGACACCAACCTTTAGCTGAAGTCTGATGCATACGAATCTTTTTGGAGGCCACAAACTGTAGTACTTTCTCCACATTATTCTTCATCTCTTGTTGGTTACTTGGACTCAACTGTACCCCACTCAGCTTTTCTCCTGCTGTTAGAAAGGAATATATATATATACACACACACACACACACACACACACACACACACACGTTACATGGAGAAATATTATCAAAATTACACGGCAGTTAAACACAAAGGAAGGGAATATTTGATGTGGAACAATAAAATTATCCAAAAAATATGAGTAAGTTACATCCTGGTTTTTGTAATTTGGATGGGGAAGAAGAAAATGAAAGCCTTTTGGGGGGCCTTCAAATTTTTATATCTAAACCCATGGACCTATGAAGGTAGTATATATACATTTATTCATTCAAAAAAATATTAAGTAAGCACCTGCTGTGTGCCAAGCACTGTTCATGGCATTGCAGAGAGCAGTGAACAAGGAGAAACACCTTTCCTTGGGGAGTTTCCATCTCTAGGGATGGCAGATTACACATAAATGCTTAATATAATTTCAGATAATGAATGATACGTACTATAAGGAAAAATACAGTGTGATCATGGCCTCTCTGATAATACATTTGTGCAGAGACTGAATAAATGATGTTAAGACTTAAAAATATTAAGATGTTAAGATTTGAGGAGGAAATATTCCAAACTAAGAAACCACAGGTAGAATCAAGCTTAGCATATCTTGAGGCTTAGGAGCAAGACCAGTGTAGTTGGAATGGAGTAAGCACAGAGTCCTGGGAGAGGCCAGAGAGGTAGCAAGGCCAGGTTCTGTAGGGCTTTGTGGACCACAGTAGAGAGCCTAAAATTTTATTCTAAGTGTAATGAGAAGCCAATGGAGAGTTTATTTTATTTCATTTATTTACAACCCAGGAGAGCTTTACCACTGAGCTATATTCCCAGTGCTTTTATTTTTTGAGACAGGCTCCCATTAAGTTGTTTAGGGCCTCACTAAGCTGCTATTGCTGCCCTCAACCTTGCAACCCTCCTGCCTCAGCCTCCTGAGTCACTGGTATTATAGGCATGCACCACATTACCTGGCAAAACCAATGGAGATTTTAAAACAAAGGACTAATGGTCATCTAGTTTATGTTTTTTCCAATTTGAGTTTGTGTATATGGATTAGGCGAAGAAGACAAAGGGAGATTAGTTAGAAAGATAATGAAAATATTCATGACAGATAATGATGGTTTGGGCAGAGGAAGAGATGGTAAGAAGTCAGATATTAAGTATATTTTAAATATAAAGCAGAAACTACATGTAAATGATTAGGTTTAAGCCACAAGAGAAAGAATTAAGAATGATTTCTAAGTGTTCTGCTTTAATGACTGGTTGAATGGCAATGTAATATATTCCTTAGATGAAAAAACTTGGAAAGGGATCAGTGAAAGGAGAAAATCAAAATTCTGATTAAGACATGTGATGTTAGAGCTGCACACTAGACACCAAGTAGAGATGCTGAATAAGAAGCTGAATATTCATATCTTCAACTCAAGGGAAAGTTAGTGGCTAACCATACAAATTTAGGGAGATAACTTGAGGTTATTTCTATATAGCAAAGTCACAGTGGAAAGTAGGGTTCAAGGGCTGAGGATGTAGCTGAGTGGAAGAGTACTTCTAGCATATGAGAGGCTCAGGGTTAGAGCCCCAGCACAAGAAATTAAACAAGATAGAAAAAGGTTAATCCTGGCAGCTGCTATTAGTATTGGCGTTGTTATTATCATTACAAATAAATGAGCTGATGAATTCACCAGCTGTCCCAACAAGATAATGCCTGTTGCAAACTTTGCTCCTTCCATACCACTCATAAGCTCTACAGCCCTCAAGGACTCTAAGCATGGTCCGTTGACTAATACAACAATAAATGTTTGAGTACCTACTAGGTCCCCATGGTTAGAGGTTGTGGAGATAGGAAAAAAAAATGATACTGTGCATTCTCTTAAAGAGTTCAATCTTTACAGAAGAAAGGTAGATAAATAAACAATTACCACAAGTAATTACCATTTGGTAAGAAAAACAATTGCAGGGCTGGGATTGTGGCTTAATGGTAGAGTGCTTGTCTAGCATGAGTGAGGCACTGGGTTTGATCCCTGGAACCACATAAAAGTAAAAACAATTGCAGAGCTATGGACATAAAATTACACTAACATCTAGTAAAAATGGTGCCAGGGTTTCAAGAGCAAAAACCCTTTTATGTAGTGAGTATTAGAAAGGAGTGTTTTGCTGGTAACATCCTCATTTTGCCTGGCTACTACTTCCTTTTCTGGTCTTGGTTTAGACATCAGTTCTTCTGGAAGGCGTCCATTTAAATGTCTATCTATCTATGTATCTATTTATACATACTAGAAATTGAACCTAGGGGTACTTAATCATTGGGCTTTAGCCACATAACCAGCCCTACTTATTTTTTATTTTGAGACAAGGTCTTGCTAAGTTGCTGAGGCTGGCTTTGAACCCAAGCTGCTGAGATTATAGGCATGCACCACAACACCCAGCAGAAGTCAATTCTTTTGGCAGGCTTCAGTTTTAGACATGAATTCTTTTGGTCAGCCATCCCTGAACCCCTCAGAATGGGAAGGGTGTCCCTTCTATGCACTTCTTTCTGTGTTCATCCCATCAAAGCACCAAGCACATTAATGGAACTGACTTCACTTTCCAGACTTTCCAATTAGATTGAGAGACTCCTGAGAACACAGACTGCATTCATTATGTTCCCAAACTTAGAAACAGTGCCTAGTACACAGTATTGACCAATGAAGAAATGATTTAAGTTTTGCCAAGTATCTTGTATAACTAAAAAGGACAAATGAAAAAATTTTAAGAAAGAAAAAAAAAGTTTGGCAAGTATTTTTTTCTCTACTTCCACTGCTATATATTCTAAAGAATCAACCTGTGTCAAAGGGCATATGAAGGATAAAAATCTATGGTAACATAAGAGTCCAGGGCCAACTGACCAACAATTTCGATGAGATATGCCAGGATCACCCCATCGCGGAGATCCTGTCGCAGGTCCTGCACAGGCCTCACTGATGGCCTCTTCTTCAGCTGTGCATTCACCCAGGCCACATAGGCCTGGAGCTGTTGCTGGAAAATAAAAAGTGGAAATGAGGGAAAGGTAGCATATTAGTCTTATTCCCTACCCTGCACCTCTAAGGCCGCATGAGAGGTCGTAGTATGGTGAACAATCTATATCCAGAAGAAGGAGATTTTAAGGAAAGAGAGAAGGAAGCTGGTACAGGCCATACCCTCTAATTTTATGCTAATCTCTAAGGATAAGCTACCCTGTGATTTAGATGGCACTGGAGAGATAGAAAAGGAGATGAGTGCTTAAATTATTGTCATTCCTCCTCTCCTTGAATTTTGCTCTGTTGACAGGGCTAGACCCAGGACTCCAGCCAGTTTTCAGGCATAATCACTGCGGCCAGCAACCCATTATGCTTTCCAGTAACAATCCCTCATGCACCATATTCACAATGGACTGTGATACTCATACAAATTGATCCTGTGGAAGGAGAGATAAATAATAACGCAAGCTCAGAGCTGCCTCTCCCATAGCTGCTTTTTTCGAATGAAACTTAACTGAAATCATCTCAAAGTCAACCCAAGATTTATTCTCCTGAGCCCATAATCCTAGGATTGCTACAGAGTTAGTTTTAATCCGCGCTTTATGTTGTCAAAAAGGATCTGATTAACTAAAACCACCACAAAGAAGGAAAAAGAAAAAGGATATAGTGAGAAGGGTATAGTTACTGAAGACTGAGGGGCATTTTCATTCACTTCAGACAAAGTTAAGGCCCTATACTATCAGAAATCTGCCAGGGGTCAGATGTGATGGTCCATGCCTATATCCTTTAGGGCTGGAAAATCACAAGTTCAAGGCCAGATTAGGCAACTTAGTGAGATCCGATCTAAAATTGTGAGCCTGTTCAGATATTAATTAATTAGTAAAATTTTGATGAAGAATGGAAGTTTTATATAGTTTCAAAGTAACTCTCTATAGTACATTTATTCATGTGAAGAGGTAAAAAATCTTACAGTGGAGAAGTCTGGCTGATACTACTTTAATCAAGCTATGGAAAAGACTGCTGTCAATAAAGGACAAACTGAAATGGTGCAATAATAAGAATAAAAAGTCTTCTTCCTTCTCTGAATACAAATAGTTGCCCTTCCCTACTTTTTGAAGTTAGGCATGACCCCATGACTTGTTTGGGCCAATGAAATGTGAGAAGTGACATAAGTCACTTCACCTAGATAACTCTGAAATAGGTAAATGCCTTTACATTTAATTTTTTAATTTATTTTTGGGGGGAGTACTGGGGACTTAATCCAGGGGCAATTTACCACTGAGCCACATCCCCAGCCCTCTTTTATTTTTTTATTTTGAGGCAGGGTCTCAGTAAGATGCTTAGTTGCTGAGGCTGGCCTCAAACTTGAGATCTTCCTGCCTCAGCCTCTTGAGTCAGTGAGATTACAGAGATAAACAATAACCACCATGCCTGATTACATTTTCAAAATAAATCAATTTAAGGCTGAAACTGAGAAAGAGAAGCCATGTATTAAGATTTAGGAGCCAGTAGGTGATTAACTACTTCTCTGATTTTTTTTCACCTGTTCTTGTTGTGAGCATGTGTCAAGATGAAACCCATGTTGTCCTCGATTCATTGACTATACTAAAAATCCCTCCCAATTCCACCCTGTTTAGACATATAGAATGATAGAAAAACAAATAATTGTTGTATGAAAAATAAATAAAATAATAAAATTTAAAAAGAGCTGGGACGTAGCTCGGTGAAAAAGTGCTTGTCTATAATGTGCAATCCCCAGTACTGGGAAAAAAAAAAGAAGAAGAAATAAAAAGAAACCTGTGAAGCTCTACATAGGGACAATATAACTCATCCCAAATGCTTGTTCAACCTTATATATTTCATATTTTGTCCATTAAACAGAACTTTTATTCAGAAGGTTATTATGATTATTTGGTCAGAAGAAGAGCCAACATCTAAATAGTATGTAAACAAGGTTGTAGTCCAGGCAGCAACTCCATCTGGTTTCTAAAGCAGCCCAAGATCCTGAACCTAAAAATAAAGTTCAAGGGCTAATTGTTTTAAAATTATAATTTGGTTAAAGTACCATAGATTTCAAAGTCCCAAGTACTTCCTTAATTAAATGATGTTGGAAATAACTCACTGGCTGCTTTCTGGCTTAAATTAACTGTCCATTAGTTTCACTCTCTGTCAATTTGTGGGAATAAAATCATTAGGAAAACAGCGCTAAGGTAATCTATCAGCTACTGACAAACTGTAGGAAGTACAACGATCAGGAGCAGGTTGGGGAGTAATCTAATGTTTACTGATTACCTACCATGGAGTTTTATACAAATATATTTAGTTAATGATGTACCTGGCACAGGGCCTGAAACACAATTGATACTTACTAAATGGTCATTATTGTGATCATCACCATCATCATCCAATTCAATTGTGTCCCCTCCTCACCCAGGGGCACTTAACCACTGAGCTACATCCCCAGCCCTTTCATTTTTTTATTTTGAGACAGGGTCTCACTAAGTTGCTTAGGGCCTCACTAAATCACTGAGATTGGCTTTAAACTTACAATCCTCCTGCCTCAGTCTCCTGAGCTGCTGGGATTACAGACATAAACCACTGCACCCTGCTGATTCAATTCTTGAAAAAGCACCAGTCTGTATTATCTCCATTTCACAGATGAGGTTCACAGAGGTGATATAACTTCTCCAATGCCTCCATTGCAGATTTAGTACTGAAACCCAGTAAATGCTGTCTAAGCATTTATACCAAGGGTCTCCTGCTATCCAACTCTCTCTGTAGAACAGAAATATAAAAGCTGCACCTTCTGCCTAACAGGACCAGACACCCACCCCCAGGAACTGGATGAGCTATGTATGTAATGCTCCAAGGTCTGCTTGCATCGCACAGCCACAGGTCTTCCAGAGGCACACAAGGCAAAGGTACCTCTGGAGTGAACCATTCTTGTCTAAGAAAAAGGGGGTAAGACCATAAAAGGCATTAAGAGTAACTACTAGGGTCTGATTAATTGGCTTATATATAAAACTCCTAACCAATTTCTCTCTAATAGCTGTATATAATATCACCCTCAAAACATTCCTGCATAAAGACTCCCATTATCTTCGAGATAAAATCCAATCTTCTTAGCTGCCATTTAAGACAGTCATATGCAGCTAGCCCTTGCCTGTACTCTAGCTTCGCCCACTAACCCTCTGCATCTCCCACATTTCAGCTCATCCAAACTATGTGTGGTTCCTGGCATGCTTTCCTGCTGCTCTACCTGCACCTACCTGCTATATTTTTCTAAGTCTCAACTGAAATATTACCTTTTCCAGAAAGCCTTCCCTGACTCTTACATATTTTAGACATTTTGAGAGCATCATGTGTTACACAATCAGATCAATAACAATTTGAATGCAGGCACTATACTAAGGATCGGGGCTACAAAGAGCCCCTTGCCTTCAAGAAGCTTTCAGGAAAGAAAGGAAGAAGAGAAGCTTGCAGATTGGTTGAGGCAAGTGCTATGACAGGGTGCACCGGGAGCTAAGTAAACATTAGCCCAATATTAAGACAAGCTTCAGGAGGGTTTCCTGAAGGAGGAAAGAAAGAAAGCACTCAGAAGAGCTAAGATCTGAAATATGTTCTATGCAGAGTGTCAATAACAGTTAAAAATTATTTGACTCTTAAGAGTAGCAGATCCTTGGGTCTGGGGCTCAGTGGTAGAGTGCCTGCCTTGCACATATGAGGCACTGGGTTCCATCCTCAGCACCACATAAAAATAAATAAATAACGATATTGTATTCATCTTCAACTAAAAAAAAATTAAAAAGAGTAGCGGGTGCTCAACAAATATTTGTTTTGAGCCAGTAAACCATTTGTCACTTTTCTTTAGGCCAAGACCTCAGATGACTGCAAAAGTTAATATACATGTGGAGTATTGTAGTGCATACCAGTAAACTCAGCAACTCAAGAGGCTGAGGCAAGAAAATTACAACTTCAAGGTCACCCAACAATATAGTGAGACCCTGTCTCAGAATAAAAACCAAAAAAGGCTGGGGATGTAGCTCATTGATAGAACACCCTGGGTTCAATCCCCAAGGCCACAAGAAAAAAAAAAAGTTCATTATGAGGGATAAACAAAAACAAGTATTTTCCTTTAGACCAAAATAATTTCTACTTAAAACCATAGCCTTCCCTTCTCTGTAGAATAGAAGTTGTTTCTGATGCAAAACTGATTAGAGGCTCCTAGCCATAACTTTCATGCACATTAATCACAGTTTTGGTCTTCCAATAAAAGAGGATTCCCTAGCATACATGATAAAAGTTACCACTTTTCTGAATGCCTATTCTACTTTATTGCTTTAAATATATTTTTTCTCATTCTAATCTGCCAGGAAATGTTAAATAAGGTGAAACAAATTATTTTTAAGGTCATCCAGACAGTGAACCATTGGATTCTGATCTAACTCCCAAACCAATGTTCTTTCCACAACTAAACACATTTTATCTCTGAGGTTTAAATGACTTCACTAAAACTTTCAGTTTGTGCCTTAATCTAAACCACCCTCTTACCACATCCTGGGCTTTAGTATATAGTGTAATAATCTACACTAACTGGCTGTCTCCTAATCAAAAGGTGGTTACCAGATCAGCAGCATTGGCACCACTCAGGGATCTGTTGGAAATGCAGACTCCCAGGCCCCTCCCAGTCTAACCTACCAAATCAGAACTTCTATTTTAACATGAACACCTAATAACTCACATGCAGAGTTAAGTGTGACCAGCCCACTGTTCCCATACCTGGTTGAATATCAAGGGAACAAAGGAAGCTTTTCAAAACAGACCTTACCCCATGTTATGATTTGGATCTGGAGTATCCCCAAAGTCTCATATGTTGAAGGCTTAATGCCCAGCAATGTCCAGAGGTGGGACTTTGGGGAAGTGATTAGATTGACAGATTTCTGACCTCATTAATGGATTAATCCATTGATAGCTGAAAGGACTACTAGAGGTAGTGGAAACTATAAGTTAAGTGGGGCA